AGCAGCAGGGCCTGGCAGAGTCTGGCCATGGCGTCTGAGCCGAGGGGACACCGGCCACGTTTGTTCTGTCCTTCCGGGTGGGGCCCTGGCTGTGGGCTGGGCTGGTCCCGCTGCCTCTGCAGATGCACCCAGCTCTGTTTGACGCCACTGTGGTTTCAAAGGAAGGGACTTCTGTTAACATAGTTGTGATGTTATAAAATAAAATAAAATACATATTTGGTCTTCATCCCCCATTTCTGGCATAGAACATCCAAAGCCCTTGGAATCTCCTGAGTGACAGGGATCTGAGAAGAGTGTCTTTTGTTATTTGTAGGGAGCCCTTTTCCTTAGTTTCTGCTGAGGAGGTGACTCTTGATGGGCCCTTTGATAGCCTCAAGATGGGGGCTGGTGGCCAGAGGAACCAATCTTGTGATTAAAAGATTGAAACTTAGCTGCATCCTCAGCCTCCATGGTGGGGAGAGGGGATGGAGGTTGAGTTGAATCACCAATGACCAATGATTTAATTAATCATGCCTACTTAACGGAGCCTCCACAAAACCCTAAGCGACAGGGTTCAGAGAGCTTCCAGGCTATGTCTGGAAAGGGCACGGTGCTTATACATCCCCTTCTTTGCCCAGTGGACCTCTTCATCTGGCAGCTCACCTATATATCCTTTACAGTGTCCTTTATAACAAACTGGTGATAGTAAATAAAGTATTTCCCTAAGTTTTGTGAACCATTATAGGAAATTATTCAACCTGAGGAGGTGGTGTGGGAACCTCCAATGTGTACCCAAGTTGGGCATAAGTGTGGGTAACCTGGGGACTGCCAGTGTGACTGGCATCAGAGGCGGGGCCAGTCTTGTGGGAAGGAGCCCTCAAACCTACGGGGGCTGAGGCCAACTCTGGGTGGTTAGTGACAGAATGGAATTGAATCACTGGACAGCTAGTTAATGTCCTAGAGAATTGCTTAGTGTGAAAACCCACACATTTGGTGTCAGAAGTGCTCTGTGGGTAAAAAAGCAGGCCTGAGTATGCATTTGCTTTGGGGGACATCCAGTCATACTGTGGAAGGTAAGTCAGGAGGTGGCCTGTGAGATGCAGGGGAGCCAGTTGGGATGGGCCCAGCACAGGGAGTGAGCAAACCACAGCCCGTGGGGCATGGCCAAAGTCTACAGGGTATGTCAGCAAAGGTGAGTGGAGAGTCGAGCGCATCTAAGTGGGACATGAACATGATGGCAGAACCAGCATAGCCCTAATGTCCACTGGGCACTGTATATAAATAAGGCATACCCAGCCGGAATGCTCATGAGGTCTTAATCTGGCCACCCTCTTATGACACCATGCTGGCCCCAAGTATCCTCTCACCAAGAAACACAAATCAAATCCTGGGCTGTACAGGAGTCTAATGGGCTGGCCAGCTGTGCCCAGGCAGGCCTGCCTGTGTCTGTCCCATGAATGAGTGTGTGCTCCTGATGAGCACCTTCCATCTGCTGGACAGCATTACTCAGATGCCTGCCTCAGTCCTCATAACCCCACCATCAGCAGGGAGCTGGTACAGCACAGAGAGGTGGGAGAGGTGAATGTCACGGACCCAGGGGCCAGGCCGTGGTCTCTCCACCTCCGCCCCGCCAGGCCAGCTCTTAAGCATGTTGACCTGCTCCACCTCATTGCCCTGCCTCTCACGTGAAGGTTCACACTGATCTGATAAAGGTGGGATCTGAGCAGCTGACTTTGGCCTGTAAGCCTTTCTGCTCCATGACATCTGGGTTAATTCCTCAGGTGTCCTTGGAGACCACCCCAGCACACAGGACAGAGCTACACCACAGACCCACCTTACAGCCAAATTCTCCACACGGTCCTGGCTGCTGGGCTGAGAGCTATTTGGCAGAAGGTGGGGTCCTCTTCCCTCCCGAGGACTTGAGCTGATCAGCCCTGCCCCTGAGGCCACTCTCTGTCCCCAGCACGCTCAGCTCATTCCCTGCACTTGGTCAGGATGTCAGTCAGGCCTGCGCTCTGGGGGCACTCCTGCCCTCTGGCTCCTCTCCCCATCTGGATGGTCACACCTGAGACCCCTTTGTGAGGTAAGCCTAGCTCCTCTGATGCAGCTCAAGTGAGGGACACATCTTATGGGGTCCTAGCAGCCCTCCTAGGGCTCACCGAGAGCCACCAGCATGCAGAAGCTCCTCAACCCCTGTTGCACCTCTGCCGATGTTCTAAGTTTCTGCACTTGGACTGAGCCAGCTGGAAGTGACAGCACCTCCATGGCCATTTCTGCCAGCACCCTGTTACATGACCCCATGTTAGGATGAGGCACCAAACAGCCAGGCTCAGGGACTCTGGGACCCAGAGGCCCTCAGGGAGGGGAGGCCATGGGGGGTCATAGCTGGCAATGACTTTGCCAGCCTGACACACCTCTGCGGGGTGAGCAAATGAACAAACAGTTGAATGGAGGAGCCAGCACAGATCCCTGCTGGCCCATCAGCCATGTCATCTTCCATCTTTAAACTTGTCCAGGTACGCATCCCTGGTTCTGCTCACCTCTCCTTGGAGTTTGCTCTCCTGTGTGTGATCCCAGGCCCCAACCCCATCTGCCCAAGCTGGGCTCTACTGAGGAGCATGACTCCATCCCATTCTGCATGCAGGGCCCTCCCCGGTGACAGTGAGGCAGAGCCCCAAAACTCAGAAGTTGGGAAATTAGTATTTCTCTTTCCAAGATAAAATACAGATTAGCACAAAGCATATCAGACCTAAGATAAAATTCCAAACAGAAGTCCAACCTGAGAATCACCCGGTAAAGCTTCACATGTTTGAAACGGAATTGACACTGAAGCTGGGGAGCCCTTTGTAAGCAGGCACAAAACAGAGAAGCCATCAGAAAAGAAGAATAAATCCGGCCACATGTTCCATATAGCAAACACACACACACACATCACAAAGTCAAAAGATGAGAGGGGACATAGAATAACATAGAATAAGTCCCACAAAACAGAGAAGCCATCAGAAAAGAAGAATAAATCCGGCCACATGTTCCATATAGCAAACACACACACACATCACAAAGTCAAAAGATGAGAGGGGACATAGAATAACATAGAATAAGTCATTTGGAACATATTTGGCAAAGGGCTAAATTCCTTTTTAGGAAAAATCTCTTTAAAATCCAAAAGAAAAAGACAATTTCCTTAATTGTCTTGACTCAAAGGAGCTAAGGATGCAAGCAGACAATATACCCAGAAGGACTCCTATAGTGGATTGAATTAAGTTCCCCCAAAACTCCCTGAAGCTTGAATTGTGTCTCCCAAGTTTTATGTATTAGGAACTTAGCCCACACTGTGACTGTTAAGAGGGTGGGAAATCCTATTATGGTAATTGAAAGGTGGAGCCTGGAGGAGGTGATTGGATTGTAGGACCATGCTGTAGTGAATGGATTTAAAATGGTGGTCAGGGGTGTGGTTCTGAGGGCTTTAAAAGAAGAGAGTCTGTCTTGCTCTCGCTCTGCTCTCTCTCTGCTTCCACCATCTTGCATTGTGAGACCCCTGGGTCACTGTCACCACCACCAGATGGACTTTGGACTTCCCAGCCTCAGAAACTGTAAGCAATGTCATTTTTCTTTATAAATCACCCAATTCCATGTATTCTGTTATAAGCAACACAAATGGACTGATACAACTCAGTTTCCCCTCTTGGCCACATGTCCACTACTTGGAAACTGCTGGCCGGTGGTGAGGCCTCTCTCCAATGCCCCCATCGATCTGCCTTCTCCCAGACATCTTGCGTCCAAAACAGAACACAAGTATCCAGAAGAATTTGTGCATCACAGAGCAGAGAGACTCCCGCATCCCTCACTGGGAATTCTGCAGGTCTGGACAGATGAGTGGGCATTTGTGAGCCCACATCTCCTCCTGGGGAAGGTGGTCCTGGTGAAGGGAAAAGAGGGTGGTCTTTGCTGAACGCTGTGGTGGGTGTGGACCCACAAGTCTGAAGGGAAGCCCCTGTTGAGGTCCTAGTCCCCCGCCCAGGGAGTGGGGACAGGAGAGAGGCCTCTGTGTCTTTCAGGCAAGGCTGCTCCCCCAAAATATACCTGCCTCACCAAACATGTGCCATGCACCGTGAGATCACCAGGAACCACAGGCATGAACTGTACCAGGCACCAGTACCTCGTAAGAAGCATTTTGTTTTGTTCACAATTATGGTGACCATTAAGGTTTCAGGAAGGGCCTGGCCAATGAGTCTGTTTTAGGGTGTCTCCCAAGGTGCAGTCAGGGCGTGACCGAGGGCTCACTGCTAATGGGGAGGGGGATTTTATATAAGAGCTTTATTGAAAAGTGATTATCATACTATAATTCACATGCTGTAGTATTCACCCATTTAAGCACATGATTTAATGGCTTTTAGTATGTTC